TTCCCTCCCTTGCCGGAGCCTCTTATTTCTTCGCATGAGAGGATTGTGTAATTTTTTGAGTCATAGAAAGTGCGTTCACCGGTTTCCCACTCGGCCTAGACGACAAACGTGCCGGTGCCAAAGCTGCAATTGTTGCCGCCTTTCTCACCTCCATCGAAATTCCTTTCTAAACCCCTAGAAAAGTATAAGTTGCATCACTAAGTTCATTTTCCTCGTTTAGAAAATCATCATTTGAAAAATCTTCCATCATCTGTGCCTCATGGGCTTCATTTCCGATCACTTGACTAACTTTTGTGTTCCCAATATTGGCAACTAACGAAATGGAGTCTATTATTTTGTGCCTCCTTCATCTCGGTGTCCTTCGCTTCCCCAATACCATGATCTTTAAACCCCTCATTTTGAGTGGTCCCTTTGCTCCACAATCCAATGTTTGGTGAATATGGCTCAACCTCAAAAACCAGCTGGAAGTACTTATTGCCAATGATGACATCTAGCTTTGTTGGGATTGCATCAGGCTCTAGCACCGCCACTGCAAACCGCCCAAAGTTGCTAGCTCTTGTGGTAACCATGTCCACCTCCTGAGTGACACCAAAGAGAGTTCCTAGTGCCCACAAAATGACATATTCCCATAGAATCGTTGGTAGGTTCGTGACCCGCATCCAAACCACTGGCAACACATGTCCAAAATATTCCTCTTCTTCCTTAAATTCTTCAAATTTTAGAGTCACCCCTTCCTTCATCTCTGCATTGAACCTTGTCATCTTCGTAAGGTAAGCTTTTTGTAGGAATAGAACCTTAAACTCAAATCCATTGTGGCGCTTCACTTCCCAAGCAAAAGTGTCAGAGACCAAAACCTGCAAATATGCCACAACTTCCTCCTCTGTCTAGTTCTTGCCGATAGTAGAGACCAAAGCCATTCTAGAGTCCTTCTTAGTAGGCTGGATAGGTGCATGAGGAATATAGAAACTTGCAAGTGAATCAGCAGCCTGACCAACCAATTGTACTACCGGTTTGGACTATTTGAGAATGGAACAACGACTCATAGCATGATCAGTACTCTTACAAATTTCACAGAAGACTACCAGCTGTGCATTTGAACATCAAGTGTCCCTTGACTCCACATCGCCTACACATCTTGGTAGTAGTTGTCCTTTGCACATCCACAGCACCAGTACTTGTTTTCACTATCTCCAAATTCTCAGCCCGTACTTCCGACATCCCAGCAGCCGAGGAGGAACCTTGTAGAACTTGAGACACCGACTGTCGTACCATGTCCTTGTCCATGCTATGATCAGTGAACCCTTTCTCAATATTCTATAGACGTTCCCTCCTCCTTGTTGTTGTCCCTTGGCGGCCGGTTGCTTCTACTCCATCCCTAACCCTAGTTGCGCTGGCGGTGGCTGGTGCGCCGGTCTAGAGGCCAATGGCGGAGATTGAGGTGCATGCTGCTGCTAGCTCGCTGACTGGTTTGACAATTGTTGAGGTATTGATGCCTGGTGTTGCGGTGGAGCTTGTGGTGGCACCCTCTGAAATCGCTGCGGTATGTGTCGTTGATAGTTCCAACCTTGCTGAAATCCACCGTTCCATCCACAGTTCCCATTGCCACTGTGACGGGCACCTCGCCCTAGTTCATAGTCCTAGCCCGGACTGTAGTTAGGCAGATGGGACCTGAGGTTGGGGTTGAAGCGAGGGCCATTGAAGAACGCACCATCATCGTTGTTGTAGCCATACCCGCCGCCATGGCCATGTCGACAACAGCGCGCCTCCACCGCCTCCTGCGCGGCCTCCACCATGACTGGTTCCAAATCCTCGTCCTCTAGCACCACCACCATCATTACCGCTGCCATCGTTCCCCGCGCCTCCTGCGCCCATCGTCGCCATGCCTGAAAGCACCACGTGAACATACGAGGGAAAAACCGAAGAGAGAGTGGCGGCTAGGGTTTTTGCGTTGATTGTGTTGAGGTCGTATGTGCCGAGTAAGAAGCACGAAGCCAATTTGCCACAGTGATAGGTTCTACGTCCTAGCCCAATCTACACACGAGGCCCACATTAGACCTCATCCCGAGGCCCACCCGACCTAGCGAGATTTTTGGACATAGACGGGGTCTGCTTGCCGTGCGGTGATATCGGATCACGCGATTTTTTAATTTGAACGCGACCACCGACGGTCCTCGTCGCCGGCGATGGTGATGGAAACCACTGTAAGGCCTGTGTAAGAGTGCCCCCAATGACTGACCATCGGCCATGCCCAGCCCTTACCGCGACAGTCACCAAGTGTCATCACCGGCGACACCCTTGGTCACGATAGTTTTCTAGACCAAGGCTTCACTACCGTCCGCCACACATCCGTCAGTGTCGTCACAATGTTCTGAACCAACACAGCTTTTGTGTCCATGGAACCTGGAGTGACAGGTTCCTCTACTCGCTGGTGAACCGACTAGTCTTACAACGCCATCTCTGCCTCATACAACTGTGCCCTGGAGAAACCATGGATAGCTACGTGGCGCACCAAGTCCGGCATCAATGGCGATTGGGACACGACCTCCTCATCGGAGTCATTATCGTCCGCCAGAGCCCAAAACTTAGACCTAGTTCCCATGGTACAGAGGTCCACTGTAGGATCGGATGCCGTCCAACGACTACAGTCCCCAACGAATTTCCATTCACCGTTCTCATCCTCCGTCCCATCTTCTTCCAAGTTGCTAGTAGAACTCACCTTTGTGTCGCTCACCTGATCCATCACTCTACAACGTGAAACCGATGGGGAGCATGGCAGCCGAGGGGTCACCCTCCGTCGTAGCCATCTCCCACTCATAGGATGAACTGTCCCGCCTAGCGAGAAGGCATTAACAAGTGGGGAGGGCCACCGGAGGGGAGAGCGTCTGGTCGTTGTCTTCTCCAATGCGCCGCCGTAGCATCGCCTCTCTGGTAGCTCCCCGCCGAGCAGCCGAGCAGCCATCGGGCCACCGCCGAGCAGGGCCGAGTGGCCGAGCAGCTCCCCACCGAGCAGCCGTCGGGCCACCATCAAGCAGGGCACCCCTCCGCATGAGCAGCCGAGCAGGGCGGGTCGAGCAGGTCTTCGTGTTTACTCGTTCCGTATGGCGGAGGCCGTGACGGCCAGGGTAGTCACGCCCGCTGGGGGCCGACTACGCTGAGGGCCGCGACGATCGGGGGAGTTGTGTCTGCAAGCGGGGAGGGGCATCGATGTCGGTGGCGGGTGAGCGCTCGTTGGAGGAGCAGCGAACTCACCGAGATCCGGAAAGGGTGTACAAGATTGCAGTAGGAGAGCAACTGGACTGCGTTGCCTAGGGCATGACTGGCGGCGACACGAAATGCGCGGCCAGCGGCAAGGCACGCAAGGCACGTGCCCTGTTCGCTTGGCTAATAAGCCATGGCTGAAAGTACTGTTGGCTGATTTGTTGTGAAAGAAAAATATTGTTCGTTGGCTGAAAAAATACGCTTATAAGCCAAACGAACAGGGCGACGGCCGGCGGCGACCTCGAGCACGTGGACGCTCACAAGAGGATAATGACTGTATCTATAACTAAACGGTGTCTCACTTTTTCTAAGTAGCAGGAACAATACTGAAAAAGGCTATGGGCTTAAGAGCTTTTTTTGAGAAATCACCGCACTCTTTTTGGCTATGTTCGGCTGATGGTTTCTGTAGTTGCTGCTGATGTTGATGTTGATTTGTTCTGAGAGAAAAATATTGTTTCATGGCTAAAAAGTAGTGCTAATTCTATATGATAAGCTCAAACGAACAAGGCGCGATACACTTGATCAACAAAATTACAAATGCTAAAAGGCGGTTCTAAAAACCAGACATGCCTACCTGTATCAAAAGAAATCAATCTCCTAGCTAGAGTGTGAGCATCAACATTTGATTCCTATTCTCATGGACAAAATCAACCAAAATAAAATCATGAACCTGGTATGAATCTCCTTCACAATTTGGCCATACGGGCCCATATTTCTTCCTTCCAAGCTTCTGGTAGCATTGGCACAATCCGATGCCAACCTACTGAAGTTAACATTAGATCAGCTGCCAAAGCAAGTCCATCTCTGCAGACCATCACCTCGGCAATTTCTGGTTTAGTAATTCCATCAAGGACCACTCCTGAAGCTCCCAGAAAAATACCGGCCTAATCCCAAGCTATTGCCGCCACTGATGCCCTTCTCATATTCTTAGAGATAGCAGCATCTACATTCACCTTCATTCAACCTGCTGGTGGCGGCAACCACCGTGGCCTTTGACTCTAAACTTGTGCCTTTACTGCATGAGTCGGCTTTGCCGCTTGAAATTCAGCAATATATTTGTTGATGAAACTATGTGTTGAAAGCGGGCTCTGAAAAATATTTTCATAAATCACCTTCCTTCTTACGTACCAGATTGCCCACATAGTCACCAACACCCGTATGAGATCAACATGTGGCATTGTTTCTATCAAATTTGCCAACCAACCTCTTGAGTTCTCCTCCTATATCTCACCGAGGTGTTCAACGATTTCCTCGCTCTGCAATGCCTATACACACCTCGTCATATTACACTCCAGCCAGGAGTGTTTCCAGGAATCAGGAGCCAGGCTATGGGCTGCCAGGCATATTTCGGCCCACGAAGTTCCAGGCCCACCGCCATTCACATCGCTAACGGATTGGATCTCCGTGGAGGAACGGCGACGACCCGGGCCCGGTTAGGCCACATCGGATTCGCAGCGACAAGTCAGGTCAGATCGCAAGAGCCCCCCATGGACTTGGACCGGACCCCAAAGTAAAAGCCGAAAGGTAGTGGGGCCCAGTTCGGGCGTACACCACCCCACACGTCGCCACGTCACCGCCCCCACGCCGTCTCGATGGCACCGCCGCGCCGCGTGCTCTGCCTCCGCGCTCGACCTATAAACCCCGCCCACTGGACACGGCCGTTCCAGTTTAGACTCTATACTCCCCGCTTCCCGATTCAAGTCAGCGGTTTTAGGGTTCGAGATCTCGGCAACGCGGAAGCCATGGCGGTGAGCACTGGGTCTCCCCTCTCCTTGCTTTCCTATTGATTACTCGTCTCTTTCGCGAGCTTGTGTGCCGTGCCATTTCCGATCCGGGGGCACCTGCTCGCCGTTTTTTTTTTCGTTTTCGGAGCCGGAGAGCTTGGGGGCAGGTTTTCGACTTGCGGGTTATGCTCCAGTGCTAGCCGCATCTCCCCAGCCTGTCGTAGTAACAAAGAGACGGGGGAACTGTTGGCAAGAAGCGAAAGGGGGGAAACTAGAGCGTGTGTGGAACTGGGAAATTGACATGCGGGATGGTTGTTGGTTATAGTCAAATCTCGTTCATTTCAGTAGACATTGTACCTTGTCAAGTCCAGGAAATGAGGCGTGTGGACTTTGGAGTCATAAATATCTGTTGATGATTTGAAGTGCATGGTCATGTCACTGTTATTATTGCTTGATTTGTCTACCTTGTAGTGTTTAGTTAAAATATCTTGGGCCTATTCTCTGTTTGTCTACTTGCTTGTAATCGAAGATTTAGGGTGTGTGTGCTTGACTTCCCTTTCATTACTTTTTTTTTTCTCAATACATTTTAAGAGGTATCAAGAATGCCAGGAAAAAAAAAAACCTCTGATGAATATCAAGCTTACGTCTGTGTACATAGAATTGGTATAGCCCTCTAAGCAAAGTTGCCACAAGTGTGCCTATTACGTTGATATGCAATACAACATTAGTATTTGATTTGTGGGGGTGTGATGTGCTATTGATATGTTGTTGTCTAGTAAGTGCAGTAGGCGAAGTTTAATGAATGCGACAAAAAAAGAATAATGAATGATACATATTTGTTTCCCTGCCACCAGCAACCCACACACGAGAAACATGTATGCATATGAGAACACGGAAACCTTTTACTGAAGTGCATTTCTTATTTTTAGCAATGGAAATAAAGACCTATATTAGCACTCGAATCAGAAAAGGGGCATGGTTGATAATGTGCACGGTTGTACCTGGCTATTTTTAGCCATTCAATATAGAGTCGCCGTGAATGCTACCCAAATTATCTTTTGGTTGTGCCCTGTTTAAAATTATCTAAAAATATTGGGACAAAGGCCTCTATTTTATACCTAATTACTCGTACGATATTCGTGAGAAAAAGGGCCCAACTATGCCATGCGTCAATTGTAGCTGACTTGAATGGAATAATTTACTATGAAGATTTTTGCTATGTGTGAAACAGAGTTCCGTGTTGATGCTGTATATTGTATGAAGAAGTTCATACTTATGTATATGGTATGCTAGTATGTGTTAACTTAATGCATCTGTGCTAGTATGTAACTGATTTTTTCATTTTATCTTCTTTCTTCTTTCAAAGTATACTAAAGAAATGCCTGTTTGGGTGGATTATTCGCTATGGCACTGTAAATCTACAACACCGCTTATTAGATGTTCATTTTCTGGCATTTAACTTTTGTAGACAAGCACGCTTAGTACCGTGAAGGTGAACAATGTATCACTGAAAGCAGCACAGCGTGATATAAAGGAATTCTTTTCCTTTTCTGGTGATATTGTGCATGTTGAAATGCAGAGGTTAGTACCATATATATGGTGCCTATTTTTCACCTTGTGCTATGACATGTGTTTAACTATGTAGTGCTATGCAGTGGCGATGAGGTTTCTCAAGTTGCCTACATTACTTTTAAAGACAATCAAGGAGCTGAGACGGCAATGCTTCTCACGGTATTTCTTTTGTCTCATCTGAAAGTTTTGGAAGCCTCAAATTTTTGTGTATTTTCATGGATTGATGATTTGTTAGCTGTATTATCGTGAAAGTATGCTATGCATTTTTTATCGTACTTAATGGGTTAATCATCTGAATTTAATCAATGTTCCATTGTACTGCAATTTGTTGCCATGATATTCTTAAGTTCCAACCAAAGACTGTGTATCCCTCTTTCATTGGTTGTTTCACGTGATATCTTTGCTTGCTCGTTGAATCTTGCATTGCCTTTTACATAGCCAAATGTCCCAACTAATTTTTCAACATTGTGTCTACTTTGACCTATTGGCTGTAGCTTGAAAGCCAAGCTGTATTTGATATCAATGAGAACTTTGTTTGCAAATAGACATCAGGCAAATTCTAACATATGCTTTGATTTGTATCAAAGGGGGCCACAATAGTTGATATGGCTGTAATCGTCACGCCAGCCAGTGATTATGAGCTACCATCTTCTGTTTTAGCTGCTCTTGAGGTATGATTAGAGCCATACTATTTACAAATTACAACATGGTATTGCTGTAGTGCTGGACAGCTTTGTAACATTGTTTTCATCTCCAGCCCAAAGACACAAAACCTTCTGCCCTTCAAAAGGCCGAGGACATTGTTGGGACCATGCTGGCAAAGGGATTTATCCTTGGTAGGGATGCACTGGACAAAGCAAAAGCTTTGGATGAGAAGCATCAGCTCACGTCGACTGCCACAGCTAGAGTATCTTCCTTTGACAAGAGAATCGGTCTAAGTGAGAAGATCAGTGTTGGCACTTCAGTTGTAAATGATAAAGTGAAGGAAATGGATCAGAAATATCAAGTCTCTGAGAAGACAAAGTCAGCACTGGCAGCTGCTGAACAGAGTGTCTCGACTGCTGGATCTGCTATCATGAAGAACAGGTATGTCCTCACTGGAGCAGCATGGGTAACTGGTGCTTTCAGCAAGGTCACCAGTGCAGCCAACGATGTCAGTGCAAAGGCTAAGGAGAAGATAGCAGTTGAGCAGGAGCACAAGAACGCTGAGGCCGGGCCTGCACAATCAAACATCTCAGAGATCCCTGCAACACACAGGGAATTGGACAGCGAATTCACGAAGATACATGTTGCTGAAACCCCAGAAGAAATTCCCATCTCCACGGTGACTGTCCCTGCTGTTACAGATGAGGCGCCCAGCGAGGCCTCTCCACCAGCTGATGTTCCTAAAAAGCCAGAAGCTGCGCAGGGATTGGTATTATAAGTGATAGAGTTTTGCTTCATACATGCATGTAATGTAAATAGTCATGAAATGAGGTAGCCATTGAACTCATTCCGTGATGTTGTGGTTGCCATCTTCAGATTGAAACCTCTTTGAAGGTTGAAAATTATTGGGACCTAAAGGAGTTTGCAATTTGTACCTGGTACGTTTTATCAATTATTCATTATTACCCACCATTGGGAAAATGAAACTTAATGCTTTTGCAGTTGTGCTGTTCTTAGTCCATCTTTGTTTCCTGGTATAGTAATTGCTTCTGTTTGGGAGATTATTATGGCTGTTAACGAGGGAGCTGCGGTTTCACGGAGGCTGCACATTTGCGCTCCTCGAGCAGCAGCGTTTCCTCACGGCTGCACATTTGCGCTCCTGAGTCCTGAGGCTGCAATGTTTCACTGAAATTTAGCTTATGCTGATGCTTATGCTGATTTATTATGAGAGGAAAATACTGTTTGTTCGCTGAAAAGTGTGCTAAAGTAGTGCTGGAGTATCAGGTTGGAAACTGTTGCCGAGTCCGATAACGATAGGCCCAGCAGCCCAGCTTGTTATTTTCGTTCTGCGTCTCTTTAACCTTCAGGTTTCAGCCAAAAGATAGGATTCTGCAACGCTTGTTCCTGAAATTATAATGGTAGGCAAGTTGGGCCACCGTACCACACAAATCATCAGGCGCCGACGCTCGCAAAGATCAGGATGGCTACATTACACATGTGTTGGCAATGAGTAAGGCAAGGGCAGGGCAAACGAAAGCCATAGAACTACTAAATGTTATCAGACGATCAGAGTTCTGAACTTCTGATACCAGCAGTATGCTTTTTGCATTTATTTACTGGCAGGGACAAGCTCCATCGAGGTTCGTGTTTATGCTTCGTATTTGAGATGAAAATATCAAATACACGATTTGGATGAAGAGAAAAACTGAAGATAAAAGGCAAATATCTCAAATGTTCTTGCTGCATCATTAATTTGTTCAGTCACTGTTCCCACGATCAGAGCAACCTGGCCTTCGCGCTCCCAGCCTTCTTCCCAAAACTCGACATGTCTGAAGACCAAAAACAACAGATTATGAATAGAGATGGAACATCAACACACATGAACAGATTGTGAATAGAGATGAAACATCAACACACATGAAAAGCACATGTATGTAGAAAAAAAAAATACACGCACGTACCAGAAGGAGAGGGTCGTGGGAGCAGAGGAAGAACAGGAGGAAGCACAGCACGACGATGAGCGGTATGAGGTGCACGGACCGCTCCTTCCCCAACGGCCGCGGGGCCGGCACCGTTTCGATCCAGCCCAATAAAAGAAGACCTCTGCCCGTCCGTCCGGCAACAGCTCACGAAGCACGGCCTTTCATTATCGTTCCAGCCCACACCCGTACGTCCTGAATCCTCTCTCATCCTCCAAAAGGAAAATCATTTTTTCTCTGGTGCAAGCGATATACTCCGGTGACTATGACCTCAGTGCAGTTTCCTTTCTGATCGAGGAACTCCGGAGCTTGCTAGCCTGGAACTTCATAACATGGAAATTCCAACAGCGCCCAAGATCATGTAATAGGGTAGCACACGAGTTGGCTTCTCTTGGTAGTGGTTGTGGTCCGGACGAGGAACCTTTTATGGTCTCCATACCGGCTTGTATTCAATCTGTAATTGCTGATGATTCAGCTTTGTCTGAGTAATGGAAATTAATATTTCCCCTCAAAAAAAAAAAGTAAACAAGACAATTCTATTCGTGGCCTACACAAAACCCTTCCTTTTCTATCTCCCACGGAAAGAAGGGTTTTTTCCTCATCAAAGGGAAAAAGGGAAAGATAAATATTTTCTCCTGGCGCAAAAATAAAGCCATGTTGCTTTCAGGTGGAGCTGCACGATGAACAGTGATGTGCAGGCAGCCAGGCACTTGTCCGAAGCAAAGCAGCGGCGACAACAGACACCAAGTTACGATCGGCTTACAGCAGCAGGATGTCACACAGGGGGGGCGTCGCATCCAACAAACTCGAGGAGGACGCAAATAAAATCTCACCAAATTCGCTAACAACGAAAGCCCCTTTAGTCTTTAGACTAGTTTAATACAATCTGGGCGATGGAGTCCACAGCCTCCCCTACCTAATCTCTACTGAAAACTACTGCTACTAGCAATTGCCTATTGAAAATCAAGGACCACCGGCGCTTATCATATTTAGTTTGCCCCAGAGAGCTTTCACCATTTACCACACACTCGATCGTAATTTCTCTTTTGATCTCGGGTCGATTACCAATCATCGGCAACTAACATACGCACGCGGCGCCGAGGTTGAAGATGAACTCAGGTCGTTGTCGGTGCAGTAAACTTGTAGGACTAGCTTTTACCTCATCAATCATTGGCATTGCGGTGGTATATTTTACTGCTTTATTTACCGACAAGTCTTTGGTAAACTTCTTTTTCTCAGGTTTGGCTTGGTATCTAACTTGATTAGGCTAGTTTCAGACTTGTTCAGTTCCATGAACCAGTTCTCCTGCTTGTAGCTGTCGGCACAGATTGGCTACTAGTAGAGACCTTGCGTAATCCAAGATGCTGCCTTTTATTCTCTATCATGAAAGAAACGCGATCTGACGATGTATTCACCTGCCGTCACTTGACAAGATCCTGCTGAATCATTCAGGCATAGGCCAGTAGTACCTGAATACTATATATAATAGCACAACCAAACAATTTTACAGTTCAAACCTCACCAGCCGGATCACCAGTAGTCGTCGGCGAGAATATTGCGCAGCAATGCTCCCCTCCTGAAGTCCATTTTCCTCCTCTGCCATGGATGAAATGATCATGGAGCTAGTCCACTGACGTACGTAGTAGACGAGGAAGCTAGCTGAGCCGGTGATGCAGGAAAAAGCTCAACAACCTGAGGAAATAGACGTGCTGTATGATTGTACAGGGATGGAGCTGGAGATGGCCGTGCAGCTAGTTGCGTAGCCAGCGAGAGACGAAGTCGCAAAGCTAGCTCCAGATCGCGTGACGTGCGACGGCGAGCCAGCGACGTGCGCCGTCGCGCGTCAACGTGCGGCGATGGGGACGGCGAACGGCCGGCGACCGGAGGAATCTTTCCGACAGGTCGTCAGCGTCCGCTGTAAAGCACTCCGCGATCTTTCACAATCACATCGGTTCACCGTTCCGTTCATCACCGCTAGCTCTCTGCTGAATTCGTCTGATCAAGTTCTCTGATGCTCCCGTTGCAACCGATCCGAGCTCTGTAGCCAATGGCCTTGGATTAGTGTCTCCGCAAACATTGCGAAGGCGCCCATTGGCCGACGAATCGTAGGACATACAAAAAAGTTGGTGGAGGAGGGCACATCGGCTGCCCGCTGGCGTCGGTAGACGAAGACGGGTAGTGATGATTATTGCACCGGTTGATGTATCATTATTGTTTCTTTAAAAGCTGGTAATACATTCGTCCACTAAAACCTCGCAAAAAAAAAAAACATTCGTCCACTAAAACGCGACACTTATATTGGTTCGCTTTATTATATATTCAAATCGAGATTCAGAAATGTATCTATCGGTTGATGATTATATTAGTGTCAGGTCAAAAGGTTAACCATTAGAGTAGAGCCTCTTGCTGATAAATTGATCAATAAGGCCCAGACTGCTTTTCTTAAAGGGAGGAACATCTTGACAGGCATAATGTGACTGCATGAGATCATTCATGAAACCAAGAAAAAGAAAGAGATGGGAATAATTTTGAAATTAGACTTTGAGAAGGCTTATGACAAAGTGAATTGGAACTTTTTGTTTGAATACATGCAGATGAGAGGGTTTAGTGAAAAATGGAGAATATGGATCACCCAAGTAGTTACTGGGGGGACAGTAAGCATAAAAGTGAATGATAAGATTGGGGCTTATATTAAGAGCTATAAAGGGGTTAGGCAGGGTGATCCCCTGTCCCCTATCTTATTTAATTTCGCTGCTGATTGCTTAACAAAAATGGTAGAAAATGCACAGGAAAGGGGACTATTTACTGGTCTTATTGATCATATTATACCCAATGGGGTAGCTATACTTAAATACACTGACGATACCATAGTTTTCCTTAAGCATGATTTGGAAGGGGCTAGAAATTTAAAGCTTCTCTTATACATGTATGAGATGATGGCAGGATTGAAAATTAATTTTAACAAAAGCGAAGTTCTTGTCATAAATGATGATAGTAATTGGGGTTCCTGTTAGTCCTAGCAGGCTGCACTTAAGTGATTGGGCTCCTTTGGTAGATAAGTGTTATAAGAGGCTAGATGTCTGGAAAGGAGGAACCATGTCTATTGCTGGAAGATCCACATTGATATGTTCCTGCCTAAACAATTCTCCTATCTACCAAATGTCAGTCTACTTATGTCCCAAGACTATTTCTGAAAAAAATGACAAGATTAGAAGGACATTCTTCTGGCAGGGGGGTGGGACAAAGAAAAAATATCATTTGGTCAAATGGATTAAAATCTGTAAAAGTAAGAAAAAAGGTGACCTTGGCATAAAGGACTTGAGAAATATGAATGTGAGCTTATTAGTTAAGTGGTGGTGAAAACTTGAGCAGGAGAAGGGACTATGGCAGGAAATAGTCAAGTTCAAATATATGTGTAATAAATCGATCTTTTCAGTTAGTCACAAAGCAACTGATTCTGCAATCTAGTATGATCTTCTCAAAGTCAAAGATGTATATTTACAAGGTAGGGGGATCAGCATAAAAAATGGTGTCAGAACTAGATTCTGGTGTGATCCTTGGTTATATGATAGGCCCTTGATGCATATTGCTCCCACTTTATATATTTTGTGTGATCAGAAAGAGATTAATGTAGCTGATGTGAAAGGGGGAGATGTTCAGATTACATTTAGGAGAAGGCTGACTGAAGAACTTCAGTTATGCTGGGATGGGATCATGACTGATGTTGATAGATACCAGCTTCAGGATTCAGAGGACCTAGTCGTTTGGCAAATTGGGAAAACTAAAAAATTCTCTGTGAAATCCTTATATAATACTTTAACTCAAACTGATGCTGGTTATGATCACAGGAGGATCTGGAAGGGCAGAGTCCCTCCCAAGATCAAAATTTTTATGTGGCTGTTATGCAATGATGCATTGCTAACAAAGGATAATCTTACTAGAAGAAAATGGTCTGGAAACCCCAAATGCCACTTTTGTCATCATGATGAAACCATTAATCACTTGTTCTTTACTTGTTCTGTTGCAAAAGTGGTATGGGGGGTCATTGCAAGGATCATAGGGGCTGATAATATTCCAACCTCTATTGCCCAATGTTGGGAATGGTGTGATCTTTGGTTACCATCTGGCAAGAAGTTTCATTTGTGGGGTATTTCAGTTGTCTGCTGGGCAATCTGGAAGTCACG